AACTTGGAGGTGCCTGTGTGATCATTTGCATTTAACTTTCTAACGTCTAGGCAGAGGCGTAGCAATAGGGCAGGCAAGGCAGGCAATTGCCTGGGGCCCCGCATTTTGAGGGGGCCCCCGACAGCTGACCATTTGAACAATCAGAAATGTCATTATTAATATAACATGGAGCAATATATCTACATCCCCCCTAGGGGACCCCCTCTCGCGTTACGCTGGATGTGCTTGCTTTTTCCTCGTAAATGCAGCTTTACGGAGCTCAATGGCTCTGAACAGCTCTAGCCTAAGCTGTGATATAAACGACCACTATTGGCTATTTTAAAAAGGGGCGGGGCTGCTTGATATGTCCCGCCCTGTCTTCCTGTTTCAGTTAAAATGTCAAAAGAGAAAGGCATTTCTCTTTTCTTGACAGTAGTGATGCATTGTATATAGGGCTGCTCCCTGATAGTCGAAGAGAGCAGGCTTAGTTGATCAAAATTTTATTAGTCGCTCAGGGAAAAAAGAATCACAGAAAGTGGTGAAGTCACGTAGTCTGTTACAGAGAGATTATTAACAGCTGGTCTGTGTGGTAATTACAGTACATCAGTCAGGACATGCAAATGTTTACTTTGTTCATCGACCTCAAATGTGGCTAATCATCTGAAACATGTAAGTAGTAGTATCATTACATGGCTGCTCGCTTTAATGTTAACCTAGAAAAATGTGCGATATTCAAGTGTTTGTGCGGAGTGTGGAAGCTGAATAGTAGCGCAATGACAGTTAACTTGGAGGTGCCTGTGTGATCATTTGCATTTAACTTTCTAACGTCTAGGCAGAGGCGTAGCAATAGGGCAGGCAAGGCAGGCAATTGCCTGGGGCCCCGCATTTTGAGGGGGCCCCCGACAGCTGACCATTTGAACAATCAGAAATGTCATTATTAATATAACATGGAGCAATATATCTACATCCCCCCTAGGGGACCCCCTCTCGCGTTACGCTGGATGTGCTTGCTTTTTCCTCGTGATGCGTCAGTCGCCATTTTCAAACTGGCACAGTGCTTACTCGTGCATTTGCTAATTTAAAGGGGTCATATGATGCGATTTCAAGTTTTCCTTTCTCTTTGAAGTGTTACAAGCTGTTCGTGAATAGATAAGATCCCTAAAGTTGCAAAGACTAAAGTCTCAAACCCAAAAAAATATTCTTTATAAAAGTTAAGACTGGTCCACGCCCTCCTAAATCGCCACGTTTAAACATGCCCCCACATGTCTACGTCATGATGTGGGAAGATTTGCATAACGCCGCCCAAATGTTCATGCAAAGAAAGAAGGCGTAACTTTATTGTTGCTGTGTGTTTCGTTGCAAAAGCGAAAATACTTTGTGTTGTATTTACAACACTGTTCCAGAACAGTTCAACCCAAATATTCAGATGTGTGCAGCGCATTTTATGGAGGACTGTTTCCTGATCCTGGGAGAGTAGACTACAATGCCGGCTGTTCTGACTCACAGACTGTAAGTACGTTTTCATATTTAAAGGATTTGCCACTGATGATTCAAACGCGAGTTTTGAGCAGTGTGGAGTAGCGCTTGTTGTTTGTCATTTCTCCAATCATAAATGCAGACATGGTTTTATGTTTACGCGGCGCGATGCAATGCAACACGTAAAAAGACAGTATAAGTCATTATAATCAGTAATTATGTCCCCACTGGACGCTACAAATGCCTCGTTTGTAATGGGTTTTATTGGCTTTGTCTCGTCACACCGGGACACGGCATCAAAGTATGGTAAAGGGGCGTAACATTTACGTCACACGCTTGAGGTATTCGGCCAATCACAACGCACTAGATAGCTGGCCAATCAGAGCACACCTCGCTTTTTCAGACCGATGAGCTTTGTAAAAATCGACGCATTTCAGAAAGGCGGGGCATAGAGGAGAAACAATAATGTACAGTATGTGGAAAAACCTCGCTTTTCAGAACGATGAGCTTTGTAAAAATCGACGCATTTCAGAAAGGCGGGGCATAGAGGAGCAACAATAATGTACATTATGTGGAAAATAATGTGTTTATTTAACCTTAAACCGCATAAACAGATTGCATTACACCAAATACACAACAATGTTCTTTACAGGCAATGTCATATGACCCCTTTAAGGCAACCAGGGAACTTACTTTAAGTTAAACCAACAAATAATTTTTTAGTGTAGCAACACAGAAAATTCAGTAATGTGACTTCAATAGTCCTGCTGTAAAGTGAAGATTCTAGAAATGATCTGTGCATTTAATTGAGGAATGTGATTGATAGAAATTCAACTGAATTTGTATGAAATATGGTTGTTTTAACCAAGACTATGTTCCAAGATGTTGTTTTTTTTTAACTACATTTAAGTTCCCTGTTATAGGCTAATCTGCAATTTTGCAAATGTCCTTTTTATTAACATTAATTCCCATATATTCCTGTTAATTCTGTTGATTCCCATTGAAAGTGATCAACTTAAAAAAAAAAAAATCCCAGAATTAGCGATTTTGTCCTTCTTTTGTTGTTTGATTAACATTACTGACACAGACAGTAGCAAGAATATTAGGCTGCTGTCACTTTAAGATCTGACGCGCAAACCCAATATACTGATACACATCTGAGTTTCTCACAACTGTTTAGGTTTTAGACATACCTTAAAATGGACCTATAGTCAATTTTGTGTGTATATGACAACTCAAGCACAAATTGCAAAAGAGAACATAATTCAGGATTGCTTGCTGTCTGAGAGGCAGGGATTGCAGGTGGGGGGAAAGAATATACAGCGCTCTCTTCCACCCTCAATACCATGACTTGGGCAAGTCACCGAACCCCAAACTGCTCCCCAGGTGCCGCAGCAAAAATGGCTGCCCACTGCTCCGGTTGTGTGTGCAGAGCACAAATTCTGAATATGGGACACCATACTTGGCCAAACGTCATGTCCTCCTCCTTAGAATTTAAGGTATTTAGAACATTTTTGACACATCTTAAGTAATCTGACTTGAATGTATTTTAATTTAGACAAACCTAAATTTAATTAAAACTGGGCTGAGATTTCTTTCTTTTTTGTGCAAGATACATGTTAAGTGGGAGATTATACATATTATACATTATACATATTATACATAGTAATGTATAATATTTTACTATGCTAAATCTAGAAGAGTTTGTTATGTTGTGTTTTTTTTGTTGGGGGGGGGGGGGGTTGTTAATTGTTAAATGTTCTATATTGCCTTACTCATTCAGCAATTGCAATGCTAATCAAAGCATTGTACTACTAATTAGCATTTACTGAATTAGTTCGTATGAGTTAGCTTACTCAAATATTTTATGTTAAAAGCAATTACCATGTATGAGCACAAAATAAATATCTGCCAGTTCTGCTCACTTAAATTTTTGAACTGATAATCTCACATTTTTTGACTACTTTTTTGAGTTTACAGTGTCGGTTTAACATGTCAAAAACTTAAATCAATTGTGTGCTGTGTAGATATTAGGGGTTGAACGACTTCTGATTTTTTTAAGTCGACTTTTATGTGATGAAAGATACAAAAATGCAAGGAGTGGAAGCAGATCACTGCACACACACTGTTCTGCTGTCACACATCGGCGCAACTCAAGAAATATGAGGAATCATACTGTTTTTAACAGGAGGGCATCGAAATACCTTTCTAGTACTTGTATATTGTGCAACACTAATATCATGTAACATTACATCTACTCCAAAAAAGCCATTCAATGTCCAAACACTCGACAGTCAACTTGAGGGAAAAAAAAGAAAGGAAAATAAAACTCTAGAAAGGGGCATTTTGACTATTACATATTCATTATATATTTACTTATCCTGTTGTCTTCATTATTTAACACGTTTGAATAAATCTGTCAGGAAAACAAGCCACCATTTAAATGTTTATATTTAACAACAAATTGGAGTAGAAAGAAAACTTATATTAAACAAAAGTTGATATAAAAATGGCCTTATGTGCAATTTAAATGGTTATATACAACTTTATTATTGTTTGAGTGTTTAGTATGAATTAATAGAGCTTAAAGTGCTGCAGCACTTTGTTTTATATGTACAGTTTTTATAATTACGTTTTTCCTCATGGTCTAGTGTTAAAAAACAACAACCAAAAATCGCAATGCAATATCGAATTGCAATTCTTAAAAATGACAATACATATAGATTCGGCACCCAAGTATCATAATAGTATCGATTTGGGAGATAGGCGTATCGTCCCAACTCTAAACTGAGCTGTCGACACAAAGCGTGGGTGGTATGACTTCAGTTGAAGGATGCCACCATTTGTCTCTTATAAAAAAAAAAGTTAAATATTTTAGAGCTCCTCGGATTCAAGTTATTTTCATCAATCTTTAAAAACATTATTACATATTAATAAACTGTGTCATGTTTGTGATTTTTATTCATTGCGTAGGGTATGTTGTCTGACCATTAAATCAAATCTTGAGATTTTATGACATCAATTATTTTTATTATTTAGAAACAAAAGTAATTTAATGTTATTTGTGCATTTTACGTTTCATTTAATTAGTCCAAGTACAGCACCACCCTACATTAAAAAAAAAATTTTAATGGGCGGTAAGAAAAATGTAGAATTGTTGCATAAGAGCGGAGCTCAAGAGTACTTTTTCCATAAATTTACGCTGCAAGTGTCATGCACACAAACTGACGAACCTCATATTTATACAAATGCCCACTGTTTCCTTTCCGCATTAGATAAACACATTAACTGTGAAAAAACTATAGGATTCATTACATGTGGATATCTACATCAACTGACCACGCAAGTCAGTCACTCACTAAATAGTGACAAGTATGCAAGTCAAACCAATTACTACCAAGATTAGTGCAGTGTGGCAATGACACTAAATCAAGACAACAAGGAACACACACATAAACAATGAAATTAGACAGCAATCAATGCTCAATCAAGTTGATTAGTCTGATGCTCAAATGACTAAAGATAACATTAAGTCTCTCCCTCACCCTGTCTTTCATTCTCCAGCTCTGAGCCAAAGCTTTGGATCCCTCAATTTTCTCTGTGTGGCGTTTCTTCATGAAGGCCAGTGGAAGGTTCCAGTCAGTCATGTCCACCTCCTCCTCCTCGGCCAGACCAACCACAGGGGAGTGAAGCAGCTCAGCATCCATTTTCATAACGAATCTAAAAAAGGATATAAAAAAAAAAATTATATGACCGTCCATTTACTGGTCTACAATGTGGGAAGTAGAGAGACAAAGAGTTGTGGTGCATTATTAAAGTGGTTTAATAAAAATTATTTTGAATCGGATTCTGAACTATTATCACAAAAAATTATCAAAAGTTAACATTGGTTGGAGCTTCACCAGACTATACGAGAAGCTAGTAATTTTCCAAATGTACAAAATAATTTATTAAACAATAAAAAACGTTCTATCAAACTATAATGTCTCCGGTTACTCATGTAACCTCAGTTCCCTGAAATGATGGAATGAGACACTTTTGCCTTGCCTAGTCAATGGAGATCAAGCGTGCAAATTTATGGCAGCCACGCCCTCCTACATGATGCCTGTTGCTTGATGCTTAACTTCATTTCCTTAAAAACTTCTGAATGAATAAACAAGTTATGAAAAACCCTGAGCAGAAGTAACACGGCATGAACACGTCTCGTTCCCTCATTTCAGGGAACCGAGGATACATCAGTAACTGGAGACGTCCCCTTTCGATATTGGTTTCTCAACATCACATCATATAGCAGATAGCTATGGTGAATGTTTTAAATTATGCCGTGTTACTGTGAAGGGTGCTCAGCGTATGGAGCCAATAGCCCCAAACACATTGTCTCATAGTAGGAAATTAATGTCATTTGACAGAACCATTGCAGCCAAACAACATAAGTATACATATATTATGATAGTAAATCACTAGCATTACACACATAGCCATAAGACCTCCAGATCTTGTTAAACTCCAGTGTCCCAGGGGTTCACTGTAATGAACTGGCAATAGAGCTCCGGACGTCACGTGACCCATTCTGTTTACACCACCATGCTGGCAGGCAGGGACAGCCGGGAGCGAATATGAAATGAATAAGTTTCAAGGCAACAGAGTTCACTGCGTACTTTAATTCAAAAGACATAGACCTGTACATAGCAAAACTTAATAGATTAAGCATAACAGATCCCTATAATGCCCCCCTGGTGCTTTTAACGTGTAGCCTATCAATAAAGGAACGGATAGATTTCCTGACCTGCAGTATCCTGATATCTACAACTAACGTACCTAATCAACTTTCCCTCCTAATGTTACTCCGGAGACTCTTTAAAAGCCTACAAAAGCCTGGAGGGGTACAAATGGACGCAATCAAATTTTTTGATGAATATTCAACCTGCTATGTCGTCACTGGAAGGGCAAGTCAAATGTGTTGTTAGCTAACGTAATCGACCCTAGCTGTCCTTGTAGCCAGCATAGCTATATCACTGTGAGTACAGTAGACATCATAAATGTCATGAAATCTTACCCGTTTAATCCCAAATTTTGTGTTGGTTAGCATGTTTTATTGCAGTGAACCATTTTAGTCGTCTATCGGGATCCTTAGGAATACGATAAAATTATTTCCCCTTTGCTTTATGGGACAATCACGTATGTGTATATACAGTGTATATATATATGAAAATGTGTATTTTTGAATTAAAGATAACTTACAGATTTAGTATGGGCTGCTTTTGGTGCTTGACACTTTTTTTATTGGTCATTTTGTGTGTTTCACGAATAAGATAGACTACAAGGTTAAGAAGCTTCCTTAAATGTAAAAAAATATTTTCTCTATTTTGCAATAAAAGACGGCTTCCCTTATTGATCACGTTTCGGGTAGATTGCATGTTTTCTTGCATGGCGGGATGTTGGACTCATAAATAATCACATAGTTTGTATTTGCCAAAACTGATTTACTGAAGTCAAAACACGGATGGAATTGGCGGTAGCGCGAGCGCCTGTTCTGGCATCTTGGCGCACAGCAGCTGTCCACCATGTTGAAATAGTAAGGTTTGTAAGGTCTAAATAGTATGGTTTTAAATGATTGTTGTACAACTGTCAATACCAATGCTCTAGCGCTCTCCTGATTGCCTGCCAAAATGGTGGAGTTTAGAGTGCGTGACGTCAACCACCGGAGCTCTATATGGCAGCACTGCCCTGTTATGACGTCTATGCCATCGGACCTGGTTGAAACACCACACACAAGAAAAAAGACAATCGGTGCTTACCCAGCTGCTGTAATAGTGTTCATTTAGTAGTACTTTAGATAAAAAGCAGCAAGCCCGGCACTTATGAATGATGTAACTGTGAACAAACCTCACTGCACCAAGGGCCAGTGGTTGCTCAACAAATTACAATAAAGCAATAAATCTCGAATTTGCGAAATAATATATTTGAAGCAGTTTGACTAGCTGCAGCAGCTGACAGGGAAGTGGCAAACTCGATGCTTTACCTAACGTGACATTTAGGGCTGGGTATCATTCAAAAATTTTCAATATCAATACCGATAACTTGACTTCGACATCGGTTCCTGAACAATACTTTTTTTTTTAAATACAAATTTTATGAAATACACTTTAACAAAATTACATTATCTAACAAAATTTTTTTTAAAGGCACAACGCACTCTAGCGATGACGGGAAGACACAGAGTGTAAACCATCATGGCGGCTCCCAGGCCCACGACGAATTCATCAGAGACTGTGACATGCATGCTATTAAAACAACACAGTTCTCTGGTAAGACGGATTGGAATGCATTCAAAGCCCAATTTGAACTGTTGGCTGATACTGCAGGCTGGTCTGAAAATCATAAAGCTCAGCAGTTAGCAGTGTGCCTCACTGATGATGCAGCTGCCAGTCTCCTGTTACTGAGTCCTGCTGAAAAGAAATGATTATATTTCATTGGTAGGGGCTCTTCATAGATGATTTGGACAATGTAACCAACCTGTCCTTTTAAGGACAGAATTTCATAAAAGACGCAGGCGACAAGGTTGAGCCCCTCCGCATTTTAGCTAATGACATTGAATGTTTATGTAAATGCACTACGGATGTAACGATTACCGGTTTGACGATAAATCGTGATAAAATACCCCACAGTTAGTGTTACCGTTTCAAATTTTAATTATCACTATAACCGTATTCGATTACCGCAATTTGAACAACTGAGGATAAATAAATAATGTACTGCACAGGGCTCCAGTGTGCAGCCAGATGGGCGCATTTTGCAATAATTTTTTCTGCCGGTGTGACTAAATTTTGTGTGCGGGCGCACTGGCGCGACCACGGCATTGTTTAACTCATAAGCACTGACATTTCTGTTGCATATGAGAAACATCAAATGGCAAACGAAACAAAGCATAACGAAACAGCCCTACTCGTTTGAACTGCGCAGCACTTATAGAGTGTAGAGCCTGGTTTATAGCCTACTCGCCGCTTCAGCAGGAGCGCGAAGCTGTGTGCAGCAAAAATGACGCGAATATTGAGGAAACGATGGATGGGTTTCATGCTAAAGTAAAGTAAAAGACCGCTTCTTAAACCAAAGGTGAACATGTTGGTATTCTTGTGGGGGGAAAAGAACATGCAAACACTGTCACGGACAGCAAGTTTAGTTTTACTTTTCTTTTTGTTTTCATTTTGAAAAGCTTCTTATCTTTGCTGTTTACCTCATGTTATGCTATGGAGGCTCTCATTTTATTTATTTGATTCCTCAGTGTTTGCTAAACATTCAGTAATTTAATAGTCAGTATACAGGTGCAGGTTATTTCAGATAAATCACAAATAATACCGATGGAAAAGAAGGGGTGAATGTTACCCACTTTAATTTTCATATAACTATAAACTATGATAAAAGTTCATCAGCATGCATTGATTAACAA